AATATATATATATATATATATATATATATATATATATATATATATATATATATATCCCCCGCTTGATAAAACCAACAAAGACAGACCTTGATATAATAAGCCACAAAATTGGCATGGATACCTGCGAACTACTAAGGGTGGCTACGCATGCCAACCAGTGGAAGAGCACGTTAGATTGCATTTCGTGGTTTGAAAACATTTCCAACAAGAGTAATAAAGTGTTCATCAAAGTTTATTAGAAGCCTTGATGTTTACCAAGAACTTTGTATGCATAAAACCCGAACAGTTTAAAGTAATCCTACATTGCTGTAAATCAGTACTATTTCATGGTGGTGAAGCATGGATTAAGAAATCTGAAGCTGGTAACTTTGATGTCCCAACAAGGATCATTCAACCAGGCAGAGCGGTTTGAACTGATGGGAATAAACATCTTAAGAAAAAATAAATAAAATTGTCCACATCAACGATCTTGGAATATACGGAGATGATGGACTGGCGGTAGTACCGGATAATAGAAGAAACTAGATCAGCGAAAATCTACACAAGATATTTAAAGACCTGAATTTCAATATCACTGTGGCGATCAACAGGAAGGTAGTCTAGGTTTTGGACATAGAATTAAACCTGTTGACTGGAACCATCTCACCTTTCATAAAAAAAAAACATATTACGGTTTTGGGATACGTTAATACAGCGAAAAAAAAGAAAATATATGTATCTGCCTTAAGAAAGGAAAGGCATAATGTCAGCCTGGGTTTCAAGGAACAAACAAACACAAAAACAGATGATAAAAGAAAATAGAAACAGAATTATTATCATCTGCGTCAACCCACCTACAAACCACCTGCAAGTAAAAACAAACATAGGGAAAATGTATTTTAGTTTCCTAAATAAGCACTTCCCAAAAACGTCCGGGCTGTACAAGTTATTTAACCTCAATACAGACAAATTGAGTTACAGGTGCACTAACAACATCGGCAATATTATCAAAAGATTGAACAAAAAAATCCGAACCTTGAAGAGGACGTGATAGGTAAAAACAAGGTCCTTTGTAATTGTAAGATAAAAAAATGATTGTCCCTTAAATGGGGTATGTTGTACAGAAAGTGTCGTGTATTGTGCCGAGATAGAAAGTGATAATGGCAGTGCAAAAATACATTGGTTGCACTGAGGGCCAATTTAAAAAGATGTAGTATAACCATACCTCATCATTTAGAATACCAGAACGCAAGTTCAATACGAAGCTGGCAAACTACTATTAGAGCTTTAGGGGAAAAATAACAGAATAGTGGTCATTAAGTGGAGTATTATACGAGATGTAAAGGCTAGGTAAGGGAATGGCAAATCGTGTAGGCTGTGTCAAGAGGAGAAGCTAGCAACATACAAGGCTAGCTCTGAGTTGTTGAATGGAAGGTCTGAAATTATGGCCAAATGTAGACATATCAGAAAATTAATTTTGGAGATAGATAAACTTGGATAAAGTTGGACACTTTTCTCCCTCCCTTTCACTTTAATTTAATTTATTTTTTTATTATTTTTTTCCCCAGTAGAACTTCCTCCATCATTTCCTGTGTCGAATAAAGGTGTTTATATTAATGCGTTGCCTCTGATTGATTCGTAGAACCAAAACACCTGACGAGAACTTAGCAGTCGAAACCGCGGTAGTGTTCCGGTCAGCGCTCTTATTTTTTTTTACAATATTAAATCGCTCTGCAAGTTTGTTTTCCTACTTGAAGATATTCACTAACCGCCCCACGCGGCCGGATGTAGCACAAGGCCGAGTTTATTGTAGGGTATCCGAGCCCGTAGGCTCTGGCAAATATTCCCCGTAGACTCCGTAAAAACGGGATCGGGTAGCTGTCTACCATCCCAGACGAGATTCTGCCCTTTGGCATAGCCTCGTCTGGGTGCCTCTCTGTCCGGAGGCAGACAGTTTGACAAGCACACCGGGAAATAAATTCCACTTGAAACTGAGCACTTTCTAACGTGTACGAATTTAACAAATATTTCAATGTTTGTTTATTTTGGCGTATATATATATATATATATATATATATATATATATATATATATTGGCTCCCTGAAATATTAATTTCAGTTGAGCTCTCTCTGGGAACGAGGTGTGGATTGGTAAAACAGTGACTATTATAGCTATATAGCGAGACTCTTCGCAAAAGCGAATTGAGTCACTGTCGGTCACTGGGCGTGTTTCTAAAAATAAATACGCTAAAAATCAACCTTCATCCCTACCGTGCGCCGACGGCTTAATGGTTAATGTTTCGATCCTAGCTAGAGGCAACCGGATGTCTAGCCACACTGATGAGCTGTGAAACAGCGAAACAGTCTGTCTGTGGATGACGTTATATATATATATATATATACGTGAAGGCAAAAAAAAACTCGTCTTAAACGACTTAGTCTTGTTTCTTCCTCTGGCGGACTTTAGCAAGGTAAATTTAAGGACTTTCTTTTGCCACAAATATTAATAAACAAAAGTAAAAAAGTTTTTCACAATTTTTAAACTAAAGAACGCTCATAAATATACTTCAAGCTAAATGAAAGTCAAGGTAAACTATGGAGGATTCTAAGTGATATAATATAATGTCCAATAAACGAAAGTGAGTAAATATCATTATTATTGTTTTTGTTGAATTTCTTTACATAATGTAATTATTTTTTTTATTTTATTTTAGTTTGGTTTGAGAAATTAATGTATGTATTTATATATTTTAAATAACAGAAGGTTTTTAATTTAAAGGTTTTCTTGTGATTTTAAAAAGAATTTATAATCATGTATGTTGGCTTTGAAAAAAGTATATACTTTATTTAATTGAAAAAATCCAGGTTGCAGATTTAGATTCTGGTAAGATTCGGTAGCGGTACTCTCAAGTATTTTCCTTTGAAGGCAGTTACTTTCTCTTTTAATAAGCGTGACATTCCTTTGATCAAAGGTTTTAGCTACATATATATTGTTACACACACACTTATATATATATATATATATATATATATATATATATATATATATATATATATATATATATATTCGAGCATGTTTGGTTAAATAATTTAGACGTATTACGTCTATTTATTTTAGTTTTAATCCTTTTAAGTCTACGAATTAATTTCTTGGAGACTGTAGAAAATTTCCCAAGTTATTTTTAATCTCATCTGAGAGCAACTTCAGAAGTTGTATATCTAGGGATATATTATGCGTTAACACCGTAAATTCAATATATTTTCACCGCTATGCAAGGGAGGTAACTTATGCGATTTTTTAAAAAAGATTTTTTAATTGTAGTATTTTAATTTAGTATTTTTGATCTATAACACGATTGCTGTTACAAACATTTAAGAACTTTGTTGCTATACTCGTAGTTGAGTTTATTTTTGGCCACAATTCTCTTCTATAAAAGGCTTCCATATGAAAATGTTAATACGTATGTTGGTTTTACAACAAGTACGATGACGAGAAAGCTTACATTTCACTTGAATAATCATAGTTCAATTCCCGAACATTTAAAGGAACACTCATGTCTACATTCACACTTTAGATAGATATTAGTCGAAAATACATCAGTGCTTCAGCAAGATAATAAACAAAAGCTTACATTTCTGGAAGCCGGAAGCCCTTTATATTGACAAATGTCAGCACAATATGATAATCTTTATTATAATCTTTCAAAATAAAATATACTTTTCTGAAATTTTTTTAAGGAAGATTGATTTAAAGATTAATTAATCTTAATTAAATCTAATATCGCTTTCTTCGCAGAGAAGCATTTTTTAACACGGAGGTGGGTGTCTTTATCTGGTGTTGGCGCATATATCGATAACCTGATGTTTGCGATTTATGATTTATGAAAGGGGAAAATAACTGTAGTAGAATTAAATGACGAATACAACGTAAACGCTTTTTTTAGATATTTTTTTAATTACCCAGTAAACGTCAAAGTTTTTAAGCATTCTAATATTTTACTGAATTTTACGTACTTTAGAGTCTTACTTACGAAGACGATTCTTGTGGAAATGTTAGAAAATGGCCAATAAATTTCAAATTTACTATAGTTAACGGTCTTATATTCTGATACTGTCGTTTATGGACATCCGTATTTAAAAAAAATGAGCACGTTTATACGAACAACAAATGAAAAATGTTAGAAAATGACCAATAAATTTTAAATATACTATAGTTAACGGTCTTATGTTCTGATACTGTCGTGTATGGACATCCGTATTTTAAAAAAATCAGCACGTTTATACGAACAACAAATGAAAATTCTTTTTAAAATACTGGAGGTCGCTGATCAGTTTATGATTAGTAAACATACTTTTTATTTAATAACAATCTTACTTGACCGCTACAAATTAATAAAGAATTTTTAAAAGATTTAAAATTTTATAAATTATTATGGTTAAAAATTTCAAAAAGTGAAAACAGTTCTTTTGAACATTCATTTTTCATCGAAAATAAGTTTTTTTTTTTTTTTAAGACAATAGTATCCATAATATATTGATGTAATAGAATATGCATACACCTGGGTTCCCCTTCACAGTAATATGATTGGCTGGTGTCAGCCATAAATACAGACTGATGTGGAGGCTCAAGACTACATCACTTGACTACGCCTATTGCCTACCACTACGACGAGGACCAATCCATTACGATTACCTGCTAGATTGTTCTACTCGGTTACAGTAGACCAAAACCACTTTGCTACTTTAAACAAATATATCCCTTTCCAGGACATATCATATATCTTATTCATAAAAGCAATTAAAAGCATTTCTAATTTAATAATCACTTAGTTTTATTGTAATTTTATTTTACGATTCAGAGCAGATTTTTATTTTATTTTTTTTTGGTGGGGGGAATGGGGGTCCAGTTCGGCCAAAAGGATTTCAATCATGAAACCCCATCTAACAAACTCTAGAGGACATAACAGTTTGTCTAGAATAATCCACAGGATATCGCTATTAATGGGTATCAAAGATCTTTATTAAGTCAACAAACACTTGACACATGAGAACACTATGTTTAGATAGATAGATAGATAGATAGATAGATAGATAGATAGATAGATAGATAAGAGACGAGGATATATGCATACATACATACATAAAAATAAATTTATTAATAGATCTGAACTGATCGAAATAGATTTAAACAGACTGAGATTAGATAGATAGATAGATAGATAGATAGATAAGAGACGAGGATAGTTGCATGCATACATAGATATAAATAAACGTATTAATAGATCTGAACTGATCGAAATAGATACATTTGAACAGACTGAGATTAGATAGATAGATAGATATGAATAGAATGGCATAGATAGATAGATAGATAGATAGATAGATAGATAGATAGATAACAAGATTGTGATAGATAGATAGATAGATAGATAGATAGATAGATATGAACAGACTGGGATATATATATATATATATATATATATAGAGAGAGAGAGAGAGAGAGAGGGAGAGAGAGAGAGATGGAGAGAGAGAAAATAAATAACTAAAACCATGATTAAACGCTACAAAAAAAAAGAATTTCTCGAAATTTCTTAAAATTAGGTAAACGCGTTTTAACAAATACATCTTGATACTGATATTTTCATTTCATAATATTGTGTATTCGAGCACTGAATTAAGTGCATTGGCACACTTGAACATTATGTTGAAAAAAAATGTTTAAAATAAATGTGTATATGCGCGTGTGTGTGTGTGTGTGATGTACCACGGCCCTAAGCGCCGCACACACAAACTTATTTATCTTAAGCTATCTACCTATTGTGTCTGTCTGTTTGTCGGCGCTAGCCTTTGATCGCCTTTCCTGTTGTCAAAATGTCAATTTACTTCTTTCTTGTCGACTTGAGTGCGTTTGAAATACCAAAGTCTGAAAGAAAAATGGAGCGGTTTATCTCTTGTTTCATTTCGCGAATATTCTTTCGCTCTTGAACAGAAAACCAACAACCGGAAGTCACTAACAAATCATAAGAATGCAAAAAAACAAATGCAAAACAAAGAAACGATTGATTAACAAGAATTATGTGATGAAGGCAAGAAGTGCGCAAAAAAAAAATGAATATATGAATATTAGAAAGAGAGACTTACTAAGAAAAGAGAGAGAGACAAAAACATGGCGGATTAAAGAATAATGGGATTTAAAAAAATAAAGGACGATACAGACAGAAGAACGGATTATCTGTCAAATAAAGATTTGGGGACTGAGAGTAAATGTAAGGAAAAGGGAAGACTGAAAATGGAGGAAGGTGTAAGGAAATTCAGGAAAATGAAGTAGATATTAAACAGATAGATAGATAGATAGATAGATAGATAGATAGATAGATGCTTACATACATACATATAAATAAATGTATTAATAGATCTGAACTGATCGAAATAGATACATTTGAACAGACTGAGATTAGATAGATAGATAAATAGATAGATAGTGAACAGACTGAGATAGATAGATAGATAGATAGATAGATAGATAGATAGATAGATAGATAGATAGATAGACGAGGATAGATGTATACATACATACATATAAATAAATGTATTAATAGATCTGAGCTGATCGAAATAGATTTAAACAGACTGAGATTAGATAGATAGATAGATAGATAGATAGATAGATAATGAACAGACTGACATAGATACATACATACATACATATCTAATTATAAAAAATTGTTTAATAGATTTTAACTGATCGAAATATATTTATTTGAACAGAATGAGATAAACAGATTTCCATCATTTATACCTGAGCTCTCTTCTATGGGCCCATAAATGATTCTTACGGCCAGTTTCACTTCTACAACTTTTCTTACATACATGCCAAAAGTAAAGTTTGTCCCTGTTACCTATGTTGAGAATCTGCCTGTCCCTATGTGCAATCATCTGTCGTTTGAGTCCCGCAACAGACTTACAAACCTTGTCATAAAACTCGCACAAGTAACCTGCAGGTCTTTTTGTTAGGGTCACACTCGCAGGAGTTTGCTCCTGACTTCTTTGGTGTGATCTTATGTGACTGGCTAAACCAGACACCGAATAGATGACTTTTTTCGCAAATCCTGCAAGTGTGTGTTTGTCTGAATACCCGTGGGACAGATTCTATTTCGCCTTTCCTCGTGGCGCGCCTTTTTCTGGATTGCTCAATTCTCTTCTGTTCAAAATTTTTGGAATGGTTCCCAAATCAACTTTCCCCAGCCAGATCTATCTCCAGCAACAGTCTCTCAGTCTCCAGCATTAACGCCAAGAGTATTTAGGTTACATTTAACTACAACCTTGAAACGTCTGGACGGCTTATGAGCAGGTCGTTTACCTTTTACCAGCTGACCATAAAAAAAAGGTCTTTTGTGAAAATCTGCCATCCTCCATACGTGTCAGATGACCGGTCCAGCGCATTTGATTACGGAGAAGTAGATATATATGCTATGTTTGCGTACAGAATGACTTTTGTATCTGGTGTACAAGACTGCCAATTGATGTCGAGGATTCGTTTCAGGTACTGCTGGTGAAAACGCTCTAAGACATTAATGTGCCTTCGATAGGTTGTCTACGTTTCAGAGGCATATAAAAGACTGGTTAGGACAATGTGTCATTGATGCCAGTATTTGTGCTTAAGATTTTATGACCAGACAATACTGTCTGTTCAAGTTTTTTGGAATGTTTGACTTTCTCGTCCGGTGCGTTTAAGTCACTTCCGCATCCAGCGATACATCCCTGGAGAGTCTTGTCTAAGTATACAAAAGTGTCAACTACCTCCAGCCTAGATCCGCTAACGAGAATGTTGGGCAGCCCAGCTGGAGGCGTGTACTCGACTTTTACCATTTTCAGACTGTCGCTTAGCACCAAAACAGCACAACCCCCCAACACACACACGCGCGCTCGAGAAATAGTCCATTATAACCTGCAAGCCAACTTCATTGTGAACAACAAGATCGATGCCATCCGAATACAAGAACTCACGAATAACCATTTCGAAAACCTTAGAACGAGCGTTGAATTGTCTCAGATTAAAAAAAATAAAATATAAAAAAAAAACTTTCCCATTTGTTCTGAAACGACGATAAACACAAACATCGCAGTTTTGAAAACAGCCAACTAAAGTTACAGCAAAGTTTGATGGTAAAAAGAGCAGGTGCTGGGATATCACCTTCTTCGCGCCATTATCAAATGGAAGAAAGGCTATGACAGGCGACCATTAAAGATAAGTCTGCCCATCATATTGCTGTGCAGTTCCCAAAACATTTTAAGAAACTCTAGAGGGCATCCCGGTTTGCCTAGAATGATCCCCAGGGTATCGCTATTAATGGGTATCAAAGGTTTTTATTAAGTCAACAAACACTTGAGACAGGAGAACACAATGTTCAATGTAATTCTCTTGCAGTTGACGAGTTGAAAATGCATACGTACATAATTATAAATTATCTGAACTGATCTAGATAAATTTGAATTTTATGAGATAGATAGATAGATATGAACATAATGAAATAGATAGATAGATAGATAGATAGATAGATAGATAGATAGATAGATAGATAGATAAAAAAAGAGACGAGAATAGATAGATAACTAGATGCATACATACACACATACATACATGAAGGGTGCGATGTATAAATTGTCGTCTAAATGACGCAAAAATGAAAATAACATTGACATCCCATTTTAACAGATGTATTTACCAAATTTACACAAAAATATCTTGATATTACCAAAGAGTAAATTTATTCAATAAAATTACCATTGGCTTCAACCATGGCCACCAGACGACTTCGGGGTCTCCTGCATCTCTTCTGGACAGTCTCTTTGGTATAAGTTGGTGAATGCTGCTATAAACCTTGCCTTCGGGTCATTTTTGGTGTTACAAGCAATTTTGTTGGTCTCTTGTTCAGCTGCACCCAACACATAATAATCAAGGGAGTTGCAGTCTGGCGAGTTAAGTGTCCAGATTTAAGGGGTGATGTGGTCGCAGAAATTGTCTAACAGCCATGGCTGCGTTCTTCTTCTTGTGTGACATGATGCAGAATCCTGTTGCCACCCTCTTGACCAAGGGCAGCAGTACCCACTCAAGACTGAAGCCCTGTGGGATGATCAATAAGGGACATAACGTTGCCATCAAGAGTGGTCACTCTAAACACCTTCGTAATCACCATTAGACTCATCCAACTCTTTCCGAATCCTCTTCATTGTCACCCAAATTGACACCCAAAGACTCTGAAATGTTCGTATTGGAACTTCCGGCGCGAATGTGAAGCAGTACCGTATGCCGTTTCCAAATTTCTGTCGGGGTGAATTACATCATGGTGCTCTTTCTCTCACAGACGGTGCCCAACTGACCCTACTATACTGTGTAGTCGACAAGACCAGAAACAAACAAAACGCATGCGCGAAATTAAAAATATAAAATAGCGACAATTTACCAATCGCACCCTGTACCTAATTGTAAATAAATAGATTAATAAATAAATAAACAGAGTGATCACCGGTATGTAGCATCTAATAATATGAGTTTGCTTTATGACATCCCATTTAATGTTGAATTTCTGTAAGAGAAGGAAAACTCTGAATTTAAAGCACCTTGCCTCTAACTTCTGAGAGGTGGGATGAGGTAACCTCGATATCGCTGATGCAAAAGGAACCTGCACACCTTTTATCTATTGTGCCTTGAATGTCACCATTTACCACAATTGTGAGACGGGCGGGGCAGTGACCGTAGTGGCGTCGCTAATTGGATGAATTAATAAAGCAATGCCGAAATTTGCCAAACACATTTAGATAAACAGACTCAAAATTCTTTATAACAACTGCAGTGGCAGTTGAAAGTCCTTGAATGTATAAAAATGAACTTTAGATAATTTAGCGGCTCTCGACAACCTTGAAAGGTTCAGTTTAAATAATTTCACTCACAAGGCTTGGTTCAACCCGTGGTATGGTTTTCAGCCACTTTCCAATGGTGGGATTGAACCCTTCAGTCCGATAACATCAGGAAGTCTCCTTCCTGACAAATCGACCATAGTGAGATTCGAACCCGGGTCTCACGCGAACGTACTAACCACTCGGTCATTTGCAAGCAATAGTAAATAAGATATATTTCATCATAGTAAATCGTGTATTGAAGTATGTATAAAATGAATATCACGTATAAATTCAGTTTGACCGTTGCAGACGACGTCACTTTTAGGAGACTCAAATTTTAATTTCAGCAATCTAAAAACCATAAACAATCATAAGCCTCTGCTTCGGTTAAATGGAGTACGGCAACCCAGGAAGGCCGTCCATCCAGAGGAAGAAAAACCCTGATTTTAAAACTCCGTTGCCCTGCGTCCATACCCAAAAAACGGAAAGGGCTATGGAAATAAATCTAGACAGAAAACCTGGAGTGGATCCTTGAAAGCAGTTGGCTGTCAACACTGACAAATTTCCAGCAACTCCTGCAAACAAGCCGGCCTCAAATGTAATGCCCTGTATTCGTTTGGATCTTGTCAATATGGCCGAGAGGGAAGGAATAATGTCTTGGCAGTACACGACGCCTATATGTGATCATTGGTCTAGGAGAAGGAAAAACTCTGAATTCAAACCACCTTGCCTCTTTAACTTCTGAGAGGTGAGATGAGGTAACCTCGATATCGCTGGGGCAAAAGGAAACAGCAAACTGGTGGATATTCTGCCTTGAATATCACCACTAACCACAATTTTGAGATGGAAAAGAGTGGTCATATCCGAACAGGGAAAAGACTAATGAAGTACATCCAGGCAGAAAGCCCGGAGTGGAGCCCTGTTTGGCTGTTAACAAAAGCAAAAGGAACCGGCAACTCGTTGCATATTCTGAGAAAATTGCCTTGAATATCACCATTAAACACAATTTTGAGATGCAAAGAAGTGGTCATATCCAAACAAGGAAAAGGCTATTGAAGTATATTCAGGCAGAAAACGCGGAGTGAAGCCCCGAAAGCGGTTGGCTGTCAGCACCGACAATTTTACGGCAACTCCTACAGCCAAGCCGTCAAAAAAAAAAGTAACACCATTTATTCCTTTGTATCCTGTCGGTACGGCCGGGAAAAGAAGGGGCATGCAGTCTGGGTAACGCAGGGCCTCCATGTACCATTGACCAAGCCTGCACCCTGGAGAGATCATTCCAGGCTCAATTGTTGAGTAAACAAAGCAAAGATAAAACTATGACGCGTCATATATTGAGTAATAACTAATAATTTGGTTAACCTTGACTGTTTGCTTTATGAAATCCCATTCCATGTTGAATTTCTGTAAGATGAAGCCAGTGAGGTTGGAATTCAAATAATTTCACAGATAAGTTGCAACCGGACTAGTCTCACCAGGCCTAGACCGAGACGTCCTATATTAACAAATAATTACTAATATACTACAGACTATATACAGAATATATATAGCCCTTCATCAAACTGAACAGGTCGACCAAAAACTCAGAGAGTCTGTGAGTTCGAGAATCCCTTCCTTGAAACGAGAAACCAATTCGGTGCCATTCTGCCGGTAATGAAGTCATCTCCGTACACAGCAAAAAAGTCTCGATCTGCTTTGTGACCTTGATTAAAAGCAAAGAGAAGATGTCAGACATGCTCAGTCTTGTTTACTTGGCATTCCATCTGAAAGGCGGGTCTAATCTGAAATAAAATTTCAATAACGTTAGACAACAGTTTCACAGGATGGCCAGTGTAACTAAGAAGCAAAAGTAAATGCCACGAGAGATTATTGTTCGAGATCATTTGCAGAACAAACGAACTAATATATGTAGCACCTAATAATACGGGCTGCCATCACTTTTAAACTAATGTATGTAGCAACGTAATAATAAGGGTTGGCATCACTTTTAAACTAATGTATGTAGCAACCTAATAATAAGGGCTACCATCACTTTTGAACTAATGTACGTAGCAACTTAATAATAAGGCTGAAATCACTTTTAAACTAATATCTGTACCAACCTAATAATAAGGGCTTCCATCTCTTTTAAACAAATGTGTGTAGCAACGTAATAATAAGAGCTGCCATCAACTTGAAAGTAATGTATGTAGCATTTAATAATAAGAGTTGGTATCACTTTTAAAGCAACCTAATAATAAGGGATGCCATCACTTTAAACTATTGTATTTAGCAACATAATAATAAGTCCTGCAATCAATTTTATATCAACGTGATAATTAGGGCTGCCATCAATTTTAAAGTAATTTTGGGCTGCCATCAATTTTAAACTAATATATATAGAAACCTAATAATAAGAGTTGGCATCACTTTCGAACTAATGTATGTAGCAACCTACCAATAAGGGCTGTCATCACTTTTAAGCTAATGTGCGTAGCAACCTAATAATAAGGGCTGCAATCACTTTTAAACTAATATATGTAGCAACATAATAATAAGGGCTGCCATCACTTTTAAACTAATATATGTTACAACCTAATAATAAGGGCTACCTTCACTTTTGAACTAATGTATGTATCAGCCTAATAATACGGGCTGCCATCTCTTTTAAATTAATGTATGTAGCAACGTAATAATAAGGGCTGCCATCAATTTTAAAGCAATGTAGGGCTGCCATCAATTTAAAGTAATGTATGTAGCAAGTAATAATAAGGACTGCCATCACTTTGAAAATAATATATGTAGCAACCTAATAATAAGGGCTGCCATCACATTCAAACTAATATATTTAACAACCTAATAATAAAAGCTGCCATCACTTTTAAAATGTACATAGCAACCTAATAATAAGAGCTGCAATCACTTTTAGAATAATGTACGTAGCAGCCTAATAATAAGAGCTGCAATCACTTTTAGAATAATGTACATAGCAACCTAATAATAAGAGCTGCCATCACTTTTAAAATGTACATAGCAACCTAATAATAAGAGCTGCCATCACTTTTAAAATAATGTACATAGCAACCTAATAATAAGAGCTGCAATCACTTTTAGAATAATCTACGTAGCAACCTAATAATAAGAGCTGCAATCACTTTTAGAATAATGTACGTAGCAACCTAATAATAAGAGCTGCAATCACTTTTAGAATAATGTACGTAGCAACCTAATAATAAGAGCTGCAATCACTTTTAAACTAATATATATAGCAACCTAATAATAAGGGCTGCCCTCACTTTTCAACTAATGTATGTAGCCACCTAATAATAAGATCTTCCATCTCTTTTAAACTAATATAAGTAGCAACGTAATAATGATGGCTGCCATCACATTCAAACTAATATATTTAACAACCTAATAATAAGAGCTGCCATCACTTTTAAAATAATGTACGTAGCAACCTAATAATAAGAGCTGCAATCACTTTTAGAATAATGTACATAGCAACCTAATAATAAGAGCTGCAATCACTTTTAGAATAATGTACATAGCAACCTAATAATAAGAGCTGCCATCACTTTTAAAATGTACATAGCAACCTAATAATAAGTGCTGCAATCACTTTTAGAATAATGTACATAGCAACCTAATAATAAGAGCTGCAATCACTTTTAGAATAATGTACGTAGCAACCTAATAATAAGAGCTGCAATCACTTTTAGAATAATGTACGTAGCAACCTAATAATAAGATCTGCAATCACTTTTAAACTAATATATATAGCAACCTAATAATAAGGGCTGCCCTCACTTTTGAACTAATGTATGTAGCAACCTAATAATAAGATCTTCCATCTCTTTTAAACTAATATAAGTAGCAACGTAATAATAATGGCTGCCATCACATTAAAACTAATATATATAACAACCTAATAATAAGAGCTGCAATCACTTTTAGAATAATGTACGTAGCAACCTAATAATAAGAGCTGCAATCACTTTTAGAATAATGTACGTAGCAACCTAATAATAAGAGCTGCAATCACTTTTAAACTAATATATGTAGCAACCTAATAATAAGGGCTACCATGACTTTTGAAATAATGTATGTAGCAACCTAATAATAAGAACTGGCATCTCTTTTAAATTAATGTATATAGCAACCTAATAATAAAGGCTGCCATCACATTTGAATGATTTTTACAGTGGGATGTACGTATTCTCGATGAGTATGTTGCGTATTAAAATTGGTAAAATTTCAAGCTAGTTTAAAGTTGTCCGTATTGAGCTCTGGTCGGAGAGATGTAGCGTCAGCGATCTTGACAGGCAGTTTGGAGGGGGTGTTTAATTGATTAATTGATTCCTGCTCTACGTCTTAAATACATTTAAAGCCTCAAAATATTTTTTAGATCGTAAGAATTTTCTCTTCTTTTTTTTGTGATAATAATGATTTAGTGATAGAAGACTTACTAATTAACCCATAGCTGTTGAGGAAAGCAGGTAGCTTCATACGTTTCCAAAAGGTATTTGCACATAAGGAATTGGAACTCGGTTTTCCGGTTTGCAATTCCGAGCCTTTATTCATTACACTACCTGCACATCCAAGCTTACGTCACCTGATATTCCCAAGCGGTCACCCATCAAGCTTCTAACCAGTATCGACATGACTTCACTTTGGTGATCATGCGAGAAACGGTATTGCATCAAGGCCACACAACCGGTTTTCGAGATAATTTTATAGATAGATAGATAGATAGATAGATAGATAGATAGATAGATATGAACAAACTGATATATATATATATATAAACAAACTTAGATATAGATAGATAGATATGGACCGAGATAGATAGATAGATAGATAGATAGATAGATAGATAGATAGATGATATGAACCAACTGATATATATATATATATATATATATATATATATGAACAAACTTAGATATAGATAGATAGATATGGACCGAGATAGATAAATAGATAGATAGATAGATAGATAGATAGATAGATAGAAAGGAACAAACTTAGATAGACAGATAGATAGATAGATAGATAGATAGATAGATAGATAGATAGATATGGACCGAGACAGATAGATAGATAGATAGATAGATAGATAGATAGATAGATAGATAGATATGGACCGAGACAGATAGATAGATAGATAGATAGATAGATAGATAGATAGATAGATAGATATGGACCGAGATAGATAGATAGATAGATAGATAGATATGATGAACCAACTTATATATATATATATATATATATATATATATATATATATATATGAACAAACTTAGATAGAGATAGATAGATACGGACCGAGATAGATAGATATGAACAAACTTAGATAGCTAGCTTCTCAGCATTTTTTTTAATCAGTAATTTCCAGGCAAACCTTGAATGTCCCTATTTGTAGATAACTAAATTCAAATGGTTAGTGCGTTTGCTTTTTGACAACGAGACCCGAGAATCTCACCGTTGATCATCGGGTTGATTTCTTCATGTTGTCAGCCTGGGGAGGTGATCTCAATGTTCAAAATCATTGGAGAGTACTTAAAAACTACACCAACAACCTGATATATAGATACGAACAGACTGAAACAGATAAATAGATACGAACAGACTAATAGATAGATAGTTACAGACTGAGGCAGATAGATATTTACGAACAGATAGATATATATGACCAATAAATAGATCTCAGTCTGTTCGTATCTGTCTGTAAATGTGAATTAAGTTTAAGCGTCTAATGATTTTTTTCTTTCAGATTTAATAACTTAAGTCTTTGAAAATTTCAACCATGGAAAGATTAACAATCAAACAACGTGTTAAATTTATCGAAGCCTATTACGAAAATGGACGTTCAAAGAGAATTTGAATGAGAAGGTCCCATGTCGCATCATCTCTCAAAACAGTCAATTAGCCACCCCGATCGTGCGACTTGACGCCTTTAGATTTCTTCCTTTGGGGACATCTTGAAAGTAAGGTCTATGCCAACAAGCCAACAACAATTCAACAGCTGAAGGATGAGACAATAAGGCATATTGGTGAGATCAAGGAGCAACTATGCAGAGATGTTATCAAAAATTTGGGCGGACATTTGGGCGATATTATTTTTCACACATAACTGCCATGACTTAAATAACATGATCCAATAGAGAAATAAATAAATTTTCAACAATAACACTGATTTATTTACTGCCGACTTTGATCCGTCTTAATGAAACACCCTTTATCTATGACAGATTCATCATATATATCTATCTAGCTTAGTATGTTCATATCTGCCTCAGTTTGTTCATATCTATCTTTCTGTCTGTTCGTATCTACCTATCTGAGTCTGTTCGTTATCTATCTATTTATCTATCTATCTATCTGAGTCTGTTTGTATCTATCTTTGTATCTATCTATTTATGATAGCTTCCTTATATCTATCTATCTATCTATCTATCTATCTATCCCATTCTGTTCATTATCTATCTATCTGTCTGAGTCTGTTCGTATATGTCTATCTATCTATCTATGACAGCCTCCCCATATCTATCTATCTATCTGAGTCTGTTCGTTATCTATCTATCTATCTATCTATCTATCTGAGTCTTTTCATATCTATCTATTGTTCTATCTATCTATGACAGATTCCTAATATATATATATGTATGTATCTATCTCAGTCTGGGCGTATCTATCTACCTTTATATCTAGCTATGACAGCTTCCTTATATCTATCTATCTATCTGAGTCGGATCTATCTATCTATCTATCTATGTATCTATCTATCTATCTATGACAGATTTCTCATATCTATCTATCTATCTTTCTCAGTCTGTTCGTACATATCTATGTATCTATGACAACCTCTTCATATCTATGTATCTCTCTAAGTCTGTTCGTTATCTATCTATCTATCTATCTATCTATCTGAGTCTGTTCATATCTATCTATTGTTGTCTCTATCTATGACAGCTTCGTAATATGTATATGTATGTATCTATCTCAGTCTGTTCGTTATCTGTCTATCTGTCTGAGTTTGGGCGTATCTATCTACCTTTATATCTATCTATGACAGCTTCCTCATATCTATATATCTATCTATCCATCTATCTATCTATCTATCTTAGTCTGTTCGTATATATCTTTGTATCTATGACAATTTACTCAAATCTATCTATCTATCTGTAGATGAACTTCAACTGACTTCCATCAATTACTGTGTCGTGACATTGAGTGCTTCATAGTTCCCCAGCAGCTTTTGCACGAATCCTAGACTTTCTAAAAGAACCTAATCTCAAATAACAATAAGTAATCATTGTTAATTAAAAGGAGAAAGAAAAAGAAATTAAATTAAACTACGAGTGTAAGAAATAAGGTTAGAACAAAATATTTATATAAGATAAAAGACTTATTTAACCCGTTCTAATGGAGCAGAACTGTTAAGTCTTTTACGGAACCCAGCTAAAGCCTCTTCCGCAGATTTAATCAACAAATTTTTCCCAACAAATGACAACAACGGATGTTAGCAAAAATCATCCGACTATCTGCCAGACGCAGGCCTCCAATGTTTGCTACTTGACCGTTGAGCCATCTTTTCTTTTCTTTCTTTCTTTTTTTTTTTTTTTTTTTTGTCTCTTTTAAACTGGGGTCACGTGATAATCACGTGGTCAGATTGACTAAGACCTGACAAGAACAGCGGCGTTTGGGCGCCATTTTGCATTCTCTCCTCCTCCTTCTTCTTCTTCTTCTTCTTGTCGATAGTTTCTGCTGTTTTTGTGTGTAAGTCTTTCTGTGTGTCGCTTTCTCTTGTTCGTGTCTTTTATATTCTTTTCACCCTTTTGTATCCATCTTTTCTTTCTTGTTCTTTCTTCTTCTTTTTGTAATTCATTGGTTTATGTCGAGAGCTATTTACTGGTTTATTTCAGCGAAGGCTAAAAGATCAACAGAACGTACTTTGCGATTTTAGTATTTAATACGATCGAAGGTGACGTGGGGGGGGGGAGGTAATAACTTCGGTTTACCAAATTCGTTCGTCCCCGAGTTTATTTAATTTCATTTACTTAAACATTAGTTACGGTTTTAGTCATTTATTCTTATCTATTTTTTAAAAAAAAACTAATTTCACTCCCAGGAACGGCAATAAAGCCACTAAGACACAAGGTGTTACTGAATGTGAGTGAATATGAGAAAGAAAACACTATTAAGAAAACAGAACAATAAAAGAATAAGAATTAAGAAAGCGGACGATTGGCAAGGCATTTAAATTTTTGAAGATAGTTCCACAAGCAAGAAGTGCGAAAGAAGAAACTACTAGCATAGAACTTACGGTAGCATCTCGCAATTTTGACTGTTAAATGAAAAGACCTAGCAGCCAATCAAGTACTGCGCTTTTTCTTTACTTTGCTTAACCATTTCAACTGTAAACTGAAGCAACAATCTAGTACTGTGCTTAAATTCATAAAGTCTAGATATCATAGAAAAGGGCACGTATTCTGCATGATATGTTGAAGACGGAATATTCAAATTAGAAACAAGTCAGTCACAGGAGTCGCCATAAAAGTATTTTGATATGCTAATATTGGGCGTCCTCTTCCAGTTGTCGACAAATGGAAAAAATGCTCGGTCGATAAAAGCAGTCGGTGTTTTTGAATCGGGGAGAAAAAAAAGGAAAAAAATTCTTGTATTTAACTACCGCGGCCGTCATCGGTGAGTGAGCTACTTTTCTGGCTGGTTACGTGCATTGTTATTTGTGACATAGTACCTGCAAATCGAGATTTCGACATTTTGTTTCTGTCCCTGATTTTCGAGTATGAACTTACAGTGATTTGTTCTCTTTCCCGTGGAAGTAATCTGCGACAAATATTTTCCTTTGCAATCCAAGAACTCTTACAATAAAAAAAATGTAATATTAAAAAATTAGAATATGATTAGAAATGATTTCTAACTCAAACTCATAGTTACAATTTCTTTCTTAATTCTATCCCAGCTTTGCTGCTGATCTCTCCTCTAACTTAGCTCTAACAGCTTCAAAGAGGGTAGAACTGGTTCGTAACTTTCAATACTTCAACAACAAAAAAACTATTATCGTTTCGTTGCCACTGATCAGACCCCATGTTTTCTCGAAACACAATGAACGTTTACGCTCTCAATGGGGTTCCATACTTTGAAAGTTTACTAGTCGAAATCATATATACAAAGGTGCTGGAAGGAAATGTTCGGCTCATTATATCGTTTCAGGATTAGGACTCCTTCTGCTATGGCCCATCTTTAAAAGAGTTAAATCCGGCGCAAAATAGAGTATTTCTGCGATATTATCTGGGCGGAAGCTGCACAATCTTCACTTTCCATCATTGGTAGATTTCAAAACCGTTTAAGCGGTCTTGTAGGGTAACATTTATTAGAAAATCTGAAGCCGAAACACCGCAAGACTACAGTTATACTATCACTGTTTCCATCCCAAATGTTCAAATGACAGCATTCTTTAGTTCCACCAGTTCAGACTTTAATAACAAGGACTTGCCATGCAGCTTTCGCTGAGTCTAATCAGGTTCATTTTATCCGCGTTCCAAAGGGAAAATCTGCACAGATTTTTCTCCCATGACCTGCCACCTTTAGACTGAGACAATACACTCTTGACCACTTCAAGTCAAGAATCAATCGTTTCTATCATAATCTTCACTTCCTATCACCTCATCTTTCATTCATATCACATACATCATTTATTATAACCATTCTAGCGGTAACTTTCTACAATACGGTCTTAAGCACTTCAAGTCAAGGATAAAAATTTATCTAGCCTCCATATCCTCATAAACCCCAGTCCTGGTAGAGGTTTATCCCTTGTTTCTTGTTTAGGATTGGCTTTCCGGTTCCTTCTAAAGTCTTTTTCATTTTCTTTTACTCCCAGTTTCTCCACGTATCTCAATGGAATTATTGCCTTGCTGGGGGTGAGTTGATTTTAAAACACACACACACACACACACACACATATATATATATATATATATATATATATATATATATATATATATATATATATATATATAGTTTTAAGGTGTGCTATATTTATGGGATAAAGTGCTCAATATCAGAGATAGAGCGTATGTAAATATAAAAGTGAACATTGAAATCAACACTAAGAGGTGACAGACTGTCTCATGCTAGACGCAATCATCAGCCCACATGTGTTGGGTTTATATATATGGGTCAGTGGTGCACTGTGGGTAGTCCATTCTAACGGTTATTTTCGAGGGAGTAATTTATTTTATTTGGATTAATTTATTTTGCTTGTTTTTTTATTTATTTTTATTTTATATATCTATTTATACTTTTCGGTTTTCGATGTTTTAGTAGCGCAGTAAAAAAATTTAAGGTTAGTTTTGATCATTTATTTGATAGTTTGTTTTGGTCTAATTAAAGCTTTTTTTCGTCCAATTTTTTTTATTGATTCCTGTAGTCTATTCAAACAGTTATATTGACGGAAGCGTTTTCTTAATTTATTTATTATTTTATTTTTTTCATTTATTTCGATTGATTATTATTGGGAAATCATAAACCAATTCGGTAGCTCATTTGAGAGTTAAAAAGAAGCGTGTAATTCACGATTCCAAAATTAAAAAAAAAACACATTTGTGGGTATGTCTTGATTAACCAATGAAAAGACGGATCAAAGCTAAAATAGAAAAATGAGGTTAGAAAGTAGGGGCAGGTGGGTAAGACACGTCAGTACAGGCGACATCCAGTTACTAACATAAATTTAAGATACAGTGAAGTAGACAGAGAGATATTTTTAACAAAAGGTTAATTTTAAGGAATTTCAAGATTTTATTTATTTATTTATTTTTTTTGTTCACTTCAGAACTATCTTTAAGGGACCTCTAGTGTAATTAAAGCTTTTTTATATATATTTTGAACCCAAAATACAATATTTATTATATTAAATCATACTTGTTATAGAATCCAGGTTGTGCGTGTGTCTGTACGTTTATATATTGAATCGGATTTCCTACATTTTTCAACCGATTTCAACAAAACTTCACATGACTACGTAAAATTACCTTGCGGTGATTCTGACAGCGCCCAAAATTGGAAAAACACAATTGTTTTTGCATGAAATCAATTTGAAAACACGATTAAGAGGCATCACGTGAATGAAAAGGGGACAACTCATATCGAGTTATACTTAAAACCCAGGTTCTTTGTGTCTGTGTGTGTTCATTTATATATGGGATCGGATTTCCTACATTTTTCAACCGATTTCAACAAAACTTCACTTTTTTTGGCAGGTAGTTTTTCTTATTGTCTTGCACACTTTTTTCTTTATTTTTACATTCAGAATGCTTTTAAAATTCCATTTACAACACAATTGTTTATAATAAAATTCTATCCAATCGGTAGACTCATAACGATTGAAAACAATGTTTTTGTTTGAGTTTGGGTTTGACCAATTCGTAAAAAAAAAAATAATAATAATTAAGACATGCATGTCCGTCAACGTTAAAGAATAATCTTTGTCAATTTTATTTTTCAGTCTTTATGATGGTCGATACTTAATCTATCTGTTACTGTTACATCCCCGGGCAACGCCGGGCTCTACTGCTAGTGGGAAATAAAACATGGCAATATTAAAGTTGAAAAATCAAACAAGTAAATAAATATATGGACCATAATATATTAATAAAATAATGGATATGTTATTGTAAGGCGTAGATTTTTTATGAAAACTTTATTAACTATATTTTAAAGTAAACATTATACAATGCCTACAAGTTACTGTTAATTCATTTCTCTGATTTAGGAGATCATTATTTTTAGGAAACTTTATAATATGCAGCTTTCCATGTAAACACGGGGGACATGGGTCATTTAATGACTGACAAATTCTCGTTTTTTTTTAATATTTTTCATTTTACCGTGTGGGTTTCATCGATTTCCTTTAAATGCCAAAAATATTTAGAGAGTTATGTTCAGTTACGGTACGCATTGTTGTTAAAAGAAGATATCGAGTTTTTGCTAATAATATTATATACACCGTCTACATAACCATCTGTCGATGAAGAATTCCCATTTCTCTGTTTATTTCTCGATTCGATGAAGCAGGACACGGGTGTGTCCGAAAATTCCGGACTTAAAACCTTTCTTTTCATGCTTCATTTTTGTCATATGTTTAATATTTAATACTTAATAAATGTTTTTCGTAATGATTATATTGGTACTCATTCATTTGTTTTATTAACTAAACTATTTTACACACACACACACACACACACACACACACACACACACACACATATATATATATATATATATATCGTCCTTTTGAAATTTTGAATGCCGTGAAACTTGTGCTTAGGAGCAGAAAAGGACAGATGAAATTTCTGATAACACATAATGATGAGAAAAGAGGGCTTGGCGAATCTGACACTCTTGTGTAATGGATAGAATGAAAAAGATAATAAGGAGACAAACATTGATTAGTTCTACGAATGATGGGAAGTCGGGGAGAACCATAATCGACCAAGTCCTGAATTAATGGATTTATTTTTAATCCAACATTTTTATTACTTCAATCGTTATTTTTAGTGGACACCCGTATTTAAAATAGCCGTCCCATTTTTATTTTTATTTTTGAACAGTGAGTGTTACATCTATCGGCCTTTGCAATCGAAAAATCTCAATAAACCAAATGTGCTTTCCTTCGGCGCAGAAACGCGGTATCAAACGGTGGGCTCTCCTACTAAGGGAATGCAGGTTCGAACCCGGCCAGAGAGAATCATTTCTCGAATACACAGGCTTATAGATGTAGTACAGTGTATAATCATAAAAACGGGCCAAGAAGATAACGATTGACATTGCATTTAAATTTTTGAACACCAAAGATTGT